TTGGGGGTTGGTTTATGTGTGTGTCTATGTGAATCTCCTTTGTGAGATAAAACATGCAAATGGTGGATTATTTTAATGCAGTTTTTTTTTTCCTAGAGCCTGAAGCCTTAATCCGTAAAGCAGTCGGAATGAAAATAGTATATGTTTTCTTTCAAACTCTCTCCATGAGTCTTTTAATTTTTTCTTTTGCACTTTCATAGGAATTTGCCTCCACCAGCTGTCCAGGAATGGATACATTCCACTTTAATTTGTGTCCGATACAGTTACAGCTCTGGACTCATGATTACATCTGGAATGGACTTAAGCTGGCCTGAACTAATCTTTGAATTTTCTTGACTGATTGGTGGAAAAAATCTTAGAATTTTCTTGACTGATAAGGAGAATAAAACTGAATGCACGTTACATGTAAGATATGCACATTTTATAAATACTCACTCCAGTAAACTTACCTATACGAATGTCAGAAACCCCAAAATAAAAGGCGTAGCTGCAGGTTTGGCACCTGAGCTGTAGCACCGCTGCAGCATGCTGCACTATAATAAAAGCAAACCTTGCCTTTATTGTTTCTGACAAAATTACAATTGAAGCATCAGTGACCTACTTATTGCCTTTTACCAGTAAACTGTTATCTACTAGGGGAGATTCTGAGGAAATTAAACATAGATTCAGTTGATGCAACAAGAATCAGAAGATTTAATATCCCTGTTTCTCTCACACGAGAGAAGTTAAGCAGAATAGAGTAAATGTGTTTAAGTATTTTAGAGAGCTGATTTGTGTCTCTGGGATGGTTGGTATTGTAAAACATGGCCCCGAGCAATTCATTAGTGGTAAATAATTGAGAGGCCTGGGATAGTGCGAAGGTGAAATGGCTGTTATTATTTTATAGAGTTTGTGTTCTTGGGGGCTCTTCAATTTAATTTTTATTAAAAATGCAGAAGCCTCCATGTGAATGACTCATTCGAAAGACCCACAATGGCTGCTAATGACTATCTGTCCTTCGCTCATTGTTTTCAAGCTCATTGAGAGCGGTCTGCACACCATTATCAAGTCTATTGCTGCTTCTTTGTTCGGCTCTCATTTTATGAAGGCTGTTACTTTATTTCCTGAGTTCTGCTCGTTTTTATTTGAGGCGGTTCAGGTACACAAGCTTTCTTTTCAAAAATTATGGCGGTGGAGATTAGTATCGAGCACATCTCGGTAAATATGAAATAAAGACTTGCTTGGCAGTTGGCTTTTGTGAGTTAGACTTACAAGTGGAAATTGCTTGTTTTTTTTATGTTCACATACTTTTTGAGAATTTCACAGTGCATCTGTTTTAGGCCTTCATCGCCGTACTTTACTGTTTGTATGCTATTTTTGAAATGATGTAATGGTCCATTTCCCATCCAAGCTCTACATGCGCACAGATATTCACACCATTTTTGGTTTTGGTCTGATCTGACAAGACTGTATTCTCCCACTAGCTCATTGGGTTTTCAGCAGCATTGACTTTTCTTCAGCAGTGGAGTGTAGCACAGTGAATGTGCAGAGTAACCGCGTGAGTAGAAAGCGTTACTTTGAGAGGAAAATGCAAGATCCAAAACTGTACATTTACCAATAATCACATCCTTCCTGTTTGATATTTTGGTAAAGAGAAACTCTTTACCTATTTATACTTGTGGGTGATCATAAACAGTGACTTAATCACCAAATATAAATTTGACAGGATTGTTTCCTAAATCCTGTCAGACCTAAGTCGTGCTGCCCTACTTTCTTTGTCTTTTTGTGTTTATTTTTTTGTTTTCATCAGTTAGTATTGTGTCATACCACCTTATACACAAAAATGTTGCTTTATTACTTTCAGTGTAAGTTGCTTGAGGACTGGTGTGGATATCAGATCATTAACTCCATTAGCAAAATATTTACAGAGAAAAATTATGCAGTAAAGATAAATAAATGAGAGTAGGGTTGCAAATAAATGAAACCATATGAGTCTTTAGAAGTCCTTTCGAAACAAGCAAGTCGTGTTGAAGTTTTTTGCTCCAACAACTCCTTCAAATATATTTTGTCTGATAAATGTTCATTGACGTAAAAAGGAAAAAAAAAGCTTTTTGCGGCCCTCATTCGGACAAGCTTTTGCTTCATTGTCATTCATAGTTTGTTTTAGTGGTTATATGAGAATGCAAGTTGAGCTACAGCAAATTCTCTGCTTGAAAAAGAAAGACTTTCACCTTTTCGTTTTGGTTTTCCGGTGATGCAAGTTAAAGGCCAGCAAGGTTTTATTTAACATCTACACCCACTCACCACCACGTGATAACCAAGAAATGGGGGAGCATCTGAAGGTCTAATTGGTTTTTCTCAGCACTCTGGGCTCTGTAATAACATGATGTTTTTAGCCTGTGGTCTGTACTGAGGGCTTAAGAGCTGTTTGTCCTTAATAACCAAACTATTGAGACGTCTGTAAGATCTTTATACTTGTGGGTGGACTGCTCTTTTTAGTCATGCTTGTGGTGAAACCTAAAGGGCTGACAGTTAGACCTGACTAAATCAAACTGTTTCCATTTTTGGTGAAGTGAGGCTGTCTGTCGACATTTGGAAGGCTGCCTACCATGCGTCCAGCTCACAATGCAGATGTTTGGATTTATGAGAATGACATGACATTTTAGCAGTGTTTCTGGGAAAACTTTTATTGTTATATTTTCACGTGGCATGAAGGTTTCAGAAATTACAAGCTGTATTTTAAAGCAGGGGTTTCAAACCTTACATGTGTTTCTGGTCTAACACACCTGAAGCAAATTATCAAATTACTTCCTAATGGCCTCATTATTAATTCAGACTTCGCTTTGACAAGAAATGTAAAATTTTCATCTGCAACAAGACCTCATTACACGCCTGGCAACTATACAGTTGTTAAACAGAACAAATGATCATTTATTTTAGAATTTGGGGACTTGACATTAAAGTTTTGTTTCCTTGGGCCAGTCATTGAACTTGGCTAGGTTCACTGGTTTGCTTGATTTGTCACTGCAGAATATTTAGCCTTCAGTAAAATGGCACCTCATTCATTCTAACAAACATTTCCAGTTTATTTACTTACTTTGTTGTTGCTAAGTAAGCACATTTATTAATTGGAAGCTGCTCTTCACGTAGACTTTGTTAATAAAAACGCATAAGCCTGATGTAGACTTTAGTCCGCTGCTGGTGGGAAGATTACTGCACAAATGCAGTTTTTTCTTTTTTTTTTTTTTTGTGCATTAATTGTAAGTGTGGAAGTACATTAGGGCTGATGTGATAAGTTCAGCACATGAGATTAAATGATTCTCAATACTGTTTTTTTTTGTGAACAAGACAAGATCTTGTTAATAAAAATTTGGTTTGTGTGTTTTGCACAAATAGATTAAAAGTTTTGCAAGTCACACACTTTCTGCCCTCTCCGTATGGCTCTCAGTTTCACAGTTTGACCCAGTTAAACTGGAAAAGGCTTTTGTACATCAGTCAACAAGGAACATTCACCAGCCATTGTCTGCTCTTACCATATGTTGTATGGGTTTTTTTCTCTTGGGTATTCATGCTCTGACTATAAAGTATTACAACAATATTTGTTGAATACTTGCTTTTTAAAATGTAAGTGTCTAACAAAGCACTTTTTGTGCTTTTGCAAATACAAATTTCAACAAATCTCAAATGACAGTTCAATGTTAACTGGTCTACGATATGTTGGATTTTGAACTGCGGAGAATCAAAGATTAAGAGGTAAAAATCAGATGCCAGCTTCAACTTATTAGAGAGCCACACTGAATGGCCAGAATTGTTTGACACAACTTACAGTTATTTCCTCTCTGCTGTCACAGTTTCTTCTTGCCAGGTGTCTGATATGTTGCCTCACAAACAAGTGATTGAATGCTTTCAAATGGTTCGGTCGCTGCCAGCAAGATGGAAAATAAAGTCTTTAAAAGTTGACTGTGTCAAATACAACAGGGCATCTCAAGAAGTACTTCCTTCCATACTTCAAAATAAATGCTGCAGCGTTTTGATAATATTAGATCATTTAAAATTTCCACAAAATAACGATAAATGTAATATTACCACATTATTTTTGTCAATATAAGTTTTCTGATGACTTACAGATAGACTTTTGTGGTGTTTTCCTCTTTTCCTAATTTTAATTTTCCTTTCTGGTTCTTTGCCTGTGTATTTTTTTAACCACTTTGGTTTTCAGTCACACAGCTTGTTTTGAACAGGATTGAACATAAACCATGGCTACAAGTGTGGTAGCATGTTACATGTTGATTCTACATCCTGGTCCCTATCAAATAAATACTCTCTCTTACTTTTATTGCGCTATATAACTTTTATTGTATTGTTTTAAATTGCTTTACTTTTATGTATTTAATTGCAATGTTGACGTTTTTTTTTTCTCTTTCTGATTGTTGTCCATCCTGAAAAACAAATTAAATTTCATGTAAATACGGAACATTGGGGACCTTAATCCTTGGACATTACTCAAACTATCATGATGCTTTTATTCATTTGTTATGGATGTGATTCATGCTTGTCGTTTGCTTAGTTTCTGGCTTGCTTTCAAAATAAAATCTTAGCTAACAGATCTCCCAACTCTCCTTGGCTTAGTGCCCTTGCTCAGCCCTGCTGCCTGGTTGATGCGTTTTGTGTAATATGCTTGTCAGTGTATGGAAAAGAGCTGGGCGGCACGCATGTGGGGACGAAACATGCTCAGGGGGCGGAGGGGATGTCAGCTCATTAACCTCAATTTTTCCCTTCGCAAAGCCCTGCGTTGAGTCACCGTGTAAGTCTTGTGTCATTACTCCTCCCCCAGCATTCATTTGCTGGGAATGACAGGAGAGAAAAGCAACAGGCAGAATGGAGGAGGAGGAGAGGGGAAGGGTTCTTAACAAATTCCCTGCTTGTACCTTGCAAAACTAAAGCCCACGCATCTTGTTTCCTTCCCAACTTTTGTCCTTTCTTTCTCTTCCTTTACCTGCTGTCTGTCTTTCTGACCACAGGCCCAGTACAGTGTTAGGCTCCGCACAGCACCCCCTACAGGCATCAACCCATCTAGGAAAAGACTGGCCATTGCTATGGTGAGATATGTTAGCTGAAGCTCCCGCATTTTTGTTTTTCTACAAGCCTTCAAACAGAGACAATGGGGAAATAGTTGATTGCTATGACTTGCTGTGAGAAATTAGAGCTGGATAGGGTAAAAAGTAGCTCTCAGCATGAAGTGCCATTTTTTTGGTTAGCTGAAAGCAATAGTGACCAGGTTTTCAAGATCTTTGACCTTATGTGGAAGACAAACTTTGACAACACTTGGTATGAAGTTGCTCAATATGGAAACTTTGAAAAACCTAATAAACTCAAAAGCGTTTAGACTAGTTGTCAATTTACAGTACCAGTCCCAAGCTGACTGTCTAATTTGTCTGTAGCTCCTACACATTTAAGTGCATCACATGTTTTAGTTAGATGTTCTGTATTCAAAACGGCTTCACCCAAAAGGCAGAACCACTAAAATAGTGCAGGTTACTTTGTGCCTATTTTATTATAATGTTTTGTAAAATATCCAGCTGAATTTTCTTATGTTCTTTCTTATAGTTCCTATCCAAAATCTTGAATGTTACAGTAATAACTTTCTTTTGGAGGTAGAAGAATGCACAGTTTAAATCTTAAAGTTCTTTTAAATCATTTAGATTACATTTTTTCAACATTTTATTTACGAAATGATGCATTAGTGTAGCACACAGACTTGTATAATCTTAAATGAAGGAAGTCCAAAAGGAAGTCAGCTGTTTTCACTTCTAAACAAATTATCTTGTTTAGACAAGATAATTTTATCTTGTTTAGAAGTGAATTCTCCTTCGTCACCTCTTTACATAAATCACAAAACTTGGAATGGGATTGTCCTTGAACGCAGGATCCGTCTATTTCCTGAACTCTTCCATGAACCTCAGCGTTGTGCTCTCTTTAAACACAATTTACTTTGAAGTGCATGACGTTTAAGAGACTGATTTGACTGAAAAAATTCAAATAAAACCATTTTATATTCTTTCCTCTCATACATCACACTTATTTATGATATTTTTCTTGTTTATGTACATACTTAAAGGGTTTTGGTTTCCCTCTTGACTCATCTTCTTGCTTTGCATCGGTCAAATGTCTCATGTTGTAGCAACAACATCTTTGCTGTTGTTCCCGCCATGTTCTTCCTGATAAAACATTGGTTTTGTGGTTATTATATTATTGTTTAAAGTAGGCCAACAAAGGTTTCCATTAATGAATACGCTATGACGCATGATATATATCTTTAGACAATTTGTTTCAGTATTAGGTGTTATAGTTACTTCTCTGTGATCCTATTTATAAAGCAATTTAATAAATTTCCATAGCCACTTTTTACACTGAAAGGTTATTTTGTGTTAGCTTGAGAGCAGTGGGATTAAGTTATTTGTTGTCTTAGCCAAACGTTTTTCTTGTTCTTTGCCATCTGCTTAGATTGAAGACGAGTTGACGTCTTTGGAGATAAAATGATGCATTTATTTGGCACGTAATGGTTTATTATTGTCAAAGCTTTCAAACTTTGACATTTGTTTTATTCTTTATCCTTTGCTTTTGTACATTTTATTTATTGTGTAGAGCATCACCTCTAAGACATTCAATTATATGCCGAAGGAAACCAGCCGTTTTTGTGTGTGTGTTTTTTTTCTTTTCTTTTTCCTTTTCCTGTTGTAGTTATCTGATGGTTGCGGTGAGCAAAAGCAAATGGCTGGGGTAACGTGACGTTCACTGTGCCCTTTTATCTTTCCTCATCACTGTTTATCCCAGCCAGTTAAAAGCAGCTCTTGCTAGAGATCGCAGAAACTGTATTTTCAAGTACACGTGTGCGTGTTTTCACGCCATACTTTGTCAGGTAGAGCCGTGACACTAACATCGTTGAGCTTAGCTCCACAGCACCTGCTGGACCCATTTGTTAATTGCCTTTGATGCTGATTTGGTTGTTGCTAATGAAGCTCATCCAGCACCACTAGGGTCCTTGAAGGCCACCACAGCAGGATGATGGAGGCCATGTGGGTTGCACTTTGGTTTTGACGTATTCCTTTCTTCGACACCTTTGCACAAGCGCTCACACGTGGCTTCTTCAATGGATGTGTCCTCTTTTGCACTCTGGCTTGGTTGCTGCAGAGGAAAACTGTTGCCACAGATGACGCATTTCGAGACGCAGCAGCCACGTCTGAAACAACAAGCGAAGCCTTAACGTGAAAATCTATTTTCTGTTCGTCTATCGCCTTAAAAGTTGCTGAAACAGTTCACGCGGACTTTACAAAAGGAAATTATTTAAATCTGCTTCTTGGATTATCATTGTCCTCTTGACAATATTGTCTTCCTCCATTGTGTGATTTATTTATTTTTTTTACAGATTTATTTGACTTCAGTCAGTCAGCCTTTCCTGTGGGGCCGTTTATAGGTATCAACCAAAGTTTAAAAAAGTTAAGATTTCAAGACCTTTCCATTTTCCGTCACATTTTTATGAAATGTAATCTTCTTTCACCGAACCTTTCTGCCATGAACCAAAGACGAGCCCCCTCTGAGCTCCTTTGGGCAATTCATCAATTGCAAGTGGGAAGAGCAATTTCCCACACAGCTGTGATTTTTCAGCGATGAAGCCAACAGTGCAGGAAGGTGTCGTGTGACTTAGACATCAGCAGTATGCTTTAATTAGCGTCCTATTCGCTTCAGAAACAATAAAGGGGATTTCTGGATCTTGCTAATGCTAGTAGGTTGTGCACCTGGCTGTTGGCACAAACTGACTCAGGGACATAACAAAGTCCGGCCAGTTTCTTCCACCTTCGTTACAAAACACATAAACACAGCAAAATGTGTTCGATGAAATGGACCTCATAGTCCTTTGAACGAGTTTAAAAAATAATAATAATACTGTAATGAGTTTTTTCTAATAGTAAACCAACATTTTACTTTGAGTAATGCTCCTGTTTTTCTTCTGACTTAGGACAACATATGTTGCATGAAATACAGACAGAATGCAGAGCTACTATAGTCATCTGAAGAAACACACTTCTTCAGACTAAAAGTAACCAATCAGAGGCAGGAGGAAGATCTTTGTGCTGCCAATCAATGCTGGTAAATGTGATAATGGAGGAGAAACAATTTGCAGTTACAGAAAAAAACGCTTATTTGCCATCACTGGTGGCCATACTAACTAGCCTAAGCATTAGCCTAAGGGATGAGCAGCGCCACACGAGATTGTGATTGACTGCTAAGAACTCCCCCCTCTCGGCACTAAGAGCATTGGCAGAAGGCATATTATCCTAAATTGCGTATTGATCTGTGTATATGTTTATGAATGTGAGTCTAGTGTAAGTTGGTAAAACGTGAATTATCCCAAGAAGTGAAATCCTCACTTTTATTAATATTGGGGTCTTAGGATTAATATTTTGATTTGCTTGAGAAGAATTAATAATAAAATACAACATAGCTAGTAACCATGGACACTTTGTATTATGATTTAATAACTCAAAATGTGCATCACTTCTTATGACAGGGCCATTGAAATGCGAGGCAGACATGCAATAGTCTGACGGGGTTTTTACCAAACATGCTTCAATTTTTCCCCAATCTTTGGTTTTGCTGTGTGAGTCACAAATTATATGTGACTTTTTTTTTTACACCTTATTCTAAAAAAGGTGTAAAAAAAAGAAAAAGAAAATGAAATTAGAAAATCTCTTCACAGTCTCACACTAACTGACTTGTATGTGCAGATAAACTGTCATCTGTTTAGATTTCTATCCTTTTGTGAACCGTTGTAAACCCGAGTTCAAGGTGGAAACAAAGCCTTTTTTTGGAAACCCACATGCCCCACAATCCCACCTTGCACTACCTCTCCATATTCTCAATCTCCACTCTCATCTCTTCTCATCTCTGTTTCTGGCTGTTGGCTCTGTTTTGTGGTTGTTCCATCACCTCAACAGCAAAGTGGATATATGGAAGCCTTAACTTTTTTTTTTTTTTTTTTTTTTTTGCTGCACATCCCAAGGCATAGGCGAAACCGGAAGTGGTAAACAGAAACTTTTTTTTAGTTCGCCTCAGTATGTTGCTTTCGCCTTGGAGGTGATGAGTAGATTGATCCGTCAAGGGATTGGTTTTCATATTTTCTGTGAATTTTGAACTCAATGAGGCGGCTTCCTTTCTTTTGAACTCACGCTGAGTGCAGCTCTCTGGTGACTTTCAGCTTTTCTGTTGTTCACCTTTCGAATTAAACCGTGCAGAATATCATTTTAAACAGTTCTCTAGAAAAAAAGAAAATGTTTTAATTATTTTTTGAAAGAGATTTCTGTGACATCAGAAACATCATTCAAACTTTGTGTAGTCAAGCTCAGAAAGTCGGGAACTGAACCCCAGATTGTTGTGTGAAGGACCAACATCCTCTCTGCCTGCTTTCCCACTAAACATAAAATAAGTTAAGAATGTCAACAAAATCTCACCAAAGTGTTTTGGTTTAATTTACAGTTTAATATGAGTAAAATGAATGCTGAAGTCTCCATGTAGATCCTTGTTAAATAAATGTATTCTTTAAAAAAAAAAATTAAAAAAAGTTTTTATAATTGCTGTTACATCAATTGCCCATTTGGGACACAAATAAAATCTGTATCTGAATCTGAGTCTAGTACCTCTCATTAGTGGAAATGGAGCAATTTCAGCTGTTTGCTTTATTTTTTAAAGATTCCTTATGTATTGCATGAGCGACATTAGTGCGATGACGGGCACATACTCAACCCACTCACCACTGATGATGTTCAGGACCCTACAGTGTTTCACGTTGGTCCTTGGCCCATTCTTCTTTGCAGAGTAAAATATGATACATTTTTGACCACACATTACCATGATATGAACAAAATCTAAAACTGGTGCGGCTTTATAATTTTTCTTCGGTGAAACTCAGAAAGCATACCTGTCTTTCTAACAGCATGTTGAAGAATGCTGAAATGCTACTTCTTCTTGGATTATTCCTTTTTTCTAGTTTTTTACATGCAACACTTCAATTGTCTTTGAATGTCAGGTTTTTCAGCAAGCA